GGGGGAAGGGACATGAGAGAGGGGAAGAAGAAGAGAGTTTTCTTATTTTTTATTTTTTATTTTTATAAATTAATTTTTTCATTTTGTATTGTTTATTTTTAAAAGGAATGATTTTTTTAATAATTTGACTGAGTTGCCCCTTCACAGGTAACATAAGTTAATTTGACAAAAATGAGAGATTGTCCTTGAATTGCTTCAAATTGAAACCACAGGGACAAAATTGACCAAATTGAAACGTCAGGGACCAAAGTGGTAAAAGTGGCAAACTATAAAGACCAAAAGTGACTTTTTATCTTTTATTTTTAATTTTTACATAAGTTTTTAAATACTTCAAAAAATGCAACTTCTTAAATTTTTTAAATTTTTATTATTATTCGGGTTTTAACTTACAAAATTATTAAAATGACAATGTAATGTCAGCCAGTTAACGGTGTTACTGTTGAAATTGACGGAATGGAGCAACATGAGATACAAAATAATAGCACAAGAGGCATATTAACTCAATTACAAAGTTGCGAGTAAATTGATATTTTCAGTAAAACACATGGGGCATATTGACTCAGTTACAAAGTAGTTAAAGGGATAAACTCAGATTTTAGTTACCCCAATTTTTTTTTTTAATTAAAAAAAAGCCAGTTGGTACCCACTCCTAGACCCCAGTTAAGGAGCTTCGTGCCGGATATAAAAAGCGACGCACATTACGTCCAAATTTGGTTTCGTCGTATTAGAAAAAGTAATCACATGCGAGGCTAGAAAGAAGGAGTCAAATAGAACGAAATAATAATAAACAATGACTTTAGTTACTTTCCCGGCACCTTTCAGTGTGGATGCAATTGCGATGAGCGATTGTTAAATGCAAATTGCAATTATCCTTGTTATTATAATATGCTTTCTTTTTTTTTTGGTCTGAATATTATAATATGCTCTGATTTGAAAAGTTTGGTGGGCTTTTCTCAAAGTTGCCGGCAATTAAATTGTGACGTAAGCCATGTGTGGAGGAGAATCTTGCTAGCCTCGATTTTCAACCTCTGAAACTCACAGCTACAGCTGAGCGGTGGGTCCCAGTCCAGGCTGTCTTCTATTTCATCCCATCGTCGCCTTCGATCTCATTCTACAGAGAAACACTGTGCCTGTGCTTCTGCAATCTCGTTCGACTTCGTGTTCTCAACTCGTATTTAAGCACTAATCTGCTCTTTCTCTTGCCGGAGTTACCTACCGAAGGAGATTAAGATGGCAAGCGAATGGATCCCTGTTTTCTTGGTCGATGCAATACTTACGAAGTTAGCTTCTCTTGCTCATCAAGAAATCAGTTTCGTCTTGGGACTTAATGCTGAAATGCGTAGGCTCGGTCAATCGTTAGCTTTTGTTCAAGATTTCTTAGGTGATATTGTTGCCGAACAACCATATGATCGGATCAAGTCTGTGGAGGACTGGGTGAAGAAACTTCAATACCTTGCTCATGATGCTGATGATGTCTTAGATGAAATGGACTATGAAGTTATCCGGCGTAAGGTAAAATTCCAAAACCAAATAAAGAAAAAGGTACTCGGCTTCTTGTCTGATTCCCTTACCATTTTTTTTCGTCGAAAAATGACACATAAAATTAGGAAAATTAATGAATTTTTAATGGAAATCGAGAGTGTGGCATCTTCCATTGGCTTAGTTGCAAAAAAAAAAGATGCAACCCCTCAAGTAATTAGAGGGGACAGAGAAACCACCTCATTCATTAATGCAGATGAAATCATGGTTGGAAGGAACAAGGTTGTGTCCAATATAGTTGAGACCTTAATCAACTCCAGCAATCAAGAAACAAATTTTATTTCAGTTATGGCCATTGTCGGAATGGCAGGCCTAGGAAAGACAGCTGTGGCTAAGGCAGTATACAATGACGCTGCTATAAGCAAACACTTTCATGTGAAACTATGGGTGTGTGCATCCAGTAATTTTTCTGTCAAATTGATTTTAAGTCACATCTTAGAAATGCTTAACCCAACAAAGGTTATTGGGAGACTAAGTCTGGAGGAATTGCTTGAAAACCTCCGAAATGAATTGATGGGGAAGATGTATTTTCTTGTACTTGATGATGTTTGGAATGAAGATCGTGAAAAATGGGCATTTTTGAAGACTTGTTTATCAAACATTAATTCTGCTGAGGGGAGCAAAATTCTTGTCACCACCCGCAATGCCAGAGTTGCATCTATTACAGAAACACTTCCAAGGTGTAATTTGCAAATTTTAGCAGAAGATGACTGTTGGTCAATAATGAAAGATTTAGCATTTCCTTATGCTAGTGCTCACATAAGTCCAGATCGAGAGAGAATTGGTCGGGAAATTGCCAAAAAATGTGCAGGCGTGCCCTTAGTGGCAAAGGTACGAAAGTAGTATCATACATGTTATGACTGAAGTTTGTGCATGTTTTTCTGATTCTATTTGTTATGAATTGTGCATGAGCCTAGCTCAAGTGGCATGGAATGACTGGGTTATCCTTAGAGATCCTAGGTTCAAATCTCAGTGTAATAAAAAGAAATTGTTATCAATAAGTTCCAACCCCCAAGCTAGTTAAATGCTCTTTTCTCTTCTTTTCCTTTTATTTTCTGCTAATTCTTTTCGTCCATTTTCTTATGAATTTTGGGTAAGGAGTTCGTTCCTCATTTGCATTTTATAACATGTACGAGGAGAAACTGCAACAGAATACCACTTTTCAATTATAATTTTAGGACAATGATACCCAAAAAAGAAAAAAAGTGCACTGTTAACACTTAGGTTATTTGAGTTAATTGCTTTAAATTTAGAAGGTACTGCATACTTAGTTGCGAGTTCTTTCAGTTTAGAGTAGTACGTCTCCGAAATTTTTTTTTTATTTAAATTTTTTATAAAAATGGGAACTACAATCCACACCAATAAATTCTTTCAGTTCATTATAACATATATGTGCTTCCAGTTCAAATCAAAAAAATATTGTGTGGGAATAAGCTCTCGTGTTATAGATAGTTCACGTGTTATGATATGTGAGTGGACAATATAGTTGATATGTCCCACTTTTATGGTATAGTACCAATAAATATTATAACTTGTAGATCGGATATGGCAAGTATTGCACAACAATTATTCATTCAAATTACAATTGAATTTCCAAATCGAATCCTTAAACATAAAAAATGTATAACGTAAGGAAGAAAATCAACGAGAGTGGAATTCTTTTCAAGATAAGAAGAAATTCTTAGTTATTTAATAACAAAGCATGAATCTGAAACTTGTTACCTTTTTCTGAAAAATATAAACTTGTTTAGTTACTTGTTTGTCATTGTTTTGCTAATTTTATTGTATTCCTTATTGATATAAATTCTAATTCATGTAATAACAGGTTCTGGGAATGATGTTGCGTTCTAAGACGACTATTCATGAATGGTTGTTAATTAAAGAAAGTAAAATATGGGCGTTGCCAGAAGGAAAAGACGAAATCATGTCAGTCTTGAAGTTGAGTTTTGATAATTTGGCACCTTCTTTGAAACAATGTTTTGCATATTGCTCATTGTTCATGAAAGATTTTGAAATAGAAAAAGATAACTTGGTTCAACTTTGGATGGCTCAGGGATTACTAGTCCCCCGTCCTGACACAAGTAATCTGGACATGGAGGATATAGGCAATGAATATTTTGATATTCTGTTAAAGAGCTTCTTCTTACATGCTACTGTGGATGACTATGGCATTATTACCAAATGCACCATGCACAATCTTTTCCGCGATCTTGCAGAATTTGTATTCAAATCCGGAAGCTGCATGGGAGACTACCATAGGTTGGATGATACACTTGAGATTCAACCTGTTGCTGGGGTTTCTACTTCCATACTGGAAAGAACTCGAGAAAGTAGCATTGGTAGATTGCGCTCACTATTTTTACATGCCGAAGTCCCTAGTAACATGCTTCAAAGGTTTAAAGCTTTACGTGTTTTAAATTTATTAAAGGCAATTATTGAGGAGCTTCCAGCTTCAATTGGAAAGCTGAAATACTTAAGATATCTTGACATTTCCGAAACAAGAGTCAAAACACTCCCTACATCTGTTGGCCAGCTTTTTAAGCTACAAACCTTAAGAGCGATGCGCTGTGCTCTTGAAGAGTTTCCAAAAGAAGTGCAAAATTTGATCTTCTTGAGACATGTTTATTTTGATAAGAATATGAAATTTCCGCTTGGGATGGGGCGATTGACATGCCTCCAAACATTACCTCACTTTAGTGTGGGTGAGGGGATGGGTTGTGGAATTGAGGAGTTGGCTGGCTTGTACCAATTGAAAGGTGTATTGAGTATTTATAATTTGGAACATGTAAAGGATAGAGATGAAGCAAAGAAAGCAAAATTAGAGGAGAAGATAAACCTACGCCATTTGATATTTGTGTGGACGAAAGATAGGCCAACAACGAACCACAGTGAGGAGGATGTACTAGAAGGCCTAGAACCGCATCCAGGGTTGGAAAGCCTAAAGATTAAACATTTCATGGGTGCTAAATTTCCATCATGGATGATGAGCAGGTCGTTATCGCTCAACAACTTGAAGAAGATTGAATTACGCCAGTGCAACAATTGTGAAGGAGTCCCAGCACTTGGTCATCTACCTAATCTTAGAGATATTGAGATTCATGGAATGGCTAACCTAAAATGTGTTGGACCTGAGTTTTATGGTTATGATCTTGTTCACCATGCAGCCACCGCAAGTAAGGAGACGATAACTTTATTTCCGGCACTGAAAAAATTAACCATTGATGGGTGCAGTCAGTTAATTAAATGGAAGGAAGCACCCGTGATGTCCATAGAAAAAGTAGTGGTGTTTCCATGCCTTGAGGAGCTCCATATTCGGAGTTGTCCCAAATTGAGAAATGTTCCCAGTCACTTTCCCTCCCTCCAAAAGTTGGACGTATCTTTTGTTGAAAGGACCATGCCAATAGAAAACATAAGCAACGGACTATCGACTCTCACTTCCCTCAGAATAAATGCTATTAAGAAGCTTACTTGTCTGCCGCAAGCGATATTGAAGAACAATAAGAATCTCACATCTTTGGAGATAGAAGAGTGTGAGAACTTAACTTGTATTGCCCCTGATGTATTTGGGTGTGGCGCATATCTTCGTGTGCTGGTTGTAAAATGTTGTGGACAGCTGAGGAATTTACCCGATGGGCTAGACACACTTCCCCTTCTTGAGGAGCTGACTATAAAGCAGTGTCCTAGTCTCAATTTCATTCCAATTACACAAGGCATCACATGTCTTCGCAAATTGAGGATTGAATGTTGTGAAGGATTATCAGGCCTACCAAGTTTGCTCGAAAATTGCGAGTCTCTTGAGGTATTATATATATGTCGCTGTAATTTAACAACCATAGATCCATTTACACACCGCGGGGCTAAAGAACTGCAGGTTGAAGTTGTAGATTGTGATAACTCTTTAGCTCCTCCTACTCCTGAGGAGTTGACTATAGAGCATTATAATAGTCTACTATCTTTTCCAGCTATACGCAGTTATACATCCCTCCGTCGATTGAGAATTGTGAAATGTGACGGATCAGAAAGCCTATTGAGTGGGCTAGAAATCCTTGTCTCTCTTGAGGAGTTGAAAATCATTGATTGCCCTAATCTAGAGACTATTCCCAGTCTAGACAACCTCACATCCCTTTGTTGGCTGGGGATTTCTAATTGTGGGAAGTTAAAGTATCTTCCTGAAGAGCTACAAATCCCCGTCTCTCTTAAAGAGTTGAGAATGGATAATTGCCCTAATCTAGAAACTATTCCCAGTTTACACAACCTCACATCCCTCCGTCGGCTGGAGATTTCTGATTGTGGGAAATTAAAGTTTCTTCTGGCAGGGGTACAAATCCCCGTCTCTCTTAAGGAGTTGAGAATAGATAATTGCCCTAATCTGGACCCTGTCCCAAATGCAGACAACCACCTCACATCCCTACGTCAGTTGGAGATTTCTAATTGTGGGAAACTAAAGTATCTTCCAACTGGGCTACAAATCCCGGTCTCTCTTGAGCAGTTGAGAATAGAGAATTGCCCTAACCTAGAGACTGTTCCAAATGTAGACAACCTCACATCCCTCCGTCATTTGAAGATTCAGAAATGCGATGGATTAACAAGTCTACTGAGAAAGTTGCCATCCTGCACATCTCTTGCGCTTTTGTCTATTGAATCCTGCAACAATTTGATCTCAGTTGCGGAAGATGTATCCAAGCTATGTTCTCTTTCCTCATTAAGGATAAAAGATTGTGGCAAATTAAAATATTTTCCGAGAGGGCTTCATGGGCTCACTAGTTTGAAGGAATTGGAAATAGGTGGTTTCTGTAAAGAACTTGATTCTCTGCCCGAAGAAATCAAGTACCTCCATTCTGTGACATCTTTGTCTATACAATCTTTTAATGGCGTGGAGGCTTTGCCAGAGTGGTTTGGTAACCTTACATCTCTTACCCTCCTACATATAGACAGTTGTGAGAATCTGACGTATCTGCCTACAGTCAAAGCTATGCAACGCCTCACCAAATTACAAACACTACGGATTGTTAGATGTCCCCTTGTAAAGGAAGGATGCATTAAGGACAGCTGGTCAGAATGGCACAAGATTTCTCACATTCCAGAAATCAGAGGTAATTTTTTGTTTCTCATGTATATTTTTTTGACTCTGCAGTCTTCACTTTTCATTTGACTACTTGTTCTGTCATTGTCCTTCCCCAACACAAAACAATTCAAAGTAGGTAGAGTGCTGTTGTGATAAAGCTTTCTGAAGCATTTCTAAAAAGAATAAGATTACCAGTTATGTATCACACGTCTGGTTTTATATTTTCCTCCTCATTAACCAAATATCTTTTTAAATTCAGTTTTTGATTGAAGCTGGGGATACCTCACAAAACTGCCAGAGTTGAATATTCATGTTTGTCACGTTTCAAGAGAAGGGTGCTAACTGCTGAGGGAAGTGTCCCAGTTGTGCGAGATCACTTTCATTCAAGTCATTTGTACAACAGATTCCTAATTGCTTGAAGTTTTGTGTTAAAGAATTGTAAGCTTTTCAAATCACAATATCCCTCTTCTCTTCTGATGTTCCTCATTTATTAGACTTAACCAGTTTTCAGTGCATTATAAGACTCTAGCTTCTGCTCTACAGTTTCTTTATCTATTTATGCAGTATGTTGTTTTTCCAAGGGCGGCTATTATTATTTACTCATTTCATTGAAGATAATGCATGAGATATTATGTGACAGTAATTATTGTCATTAAAATCTGATATGATTCTTGTTTCAGCTTTCATTCAGGATTGGCTATCTGCTTCAATCTCATCAGTGGATTCTCTTCAGTTAAAAAAGGGTAATATTCTAAATATTCTTTTAGATGGTGAAGAGAAAATTACTGCATCACATTATACTTACTACTGTGCTTGAAGCTTGCACTTCTTGCACCTATCTTCGTTCATTGTAAGCACTTAGTAGAAACAGTTGAGTTTAAGAAAAAAATACAGTACGGAGTGTCATGTCTCTTAAGAAGTCGATCATCATATTCTTGTGCAGATTGTGGGCTAGCAAATTTTCAGTTTTGTAAGCAATTAATGGATTGGAGGATTTACCAGAGGATTTACAGTACGGTCATTCCTATGGCCATTCCTTCAATACTTTCTCTCTCCGGGCAGAATGGATGGTCTGGTTCCTGCTCGGTTGTGGTCCGACATGTTGATCAGTTGAAGAACTATGTATTTGTAACTATGAAAGTCTGAAGTATCTAGCTACAATAGTATCTATGCAACCGCTACTAGAATATCTTCCACTTCACACCATTTTCATAAGTGTCCATTGATTCATGGCACGCTGTTTTTATTGCCAGAGCGGAATAGGCACCATGCAGCCAATAATATATGGTCAGTGTCAACAAGAAAGGTTCTAATGGTATATTCCACACTGTTCACAACTCAGCGGTACAAGCAAAGATGTACTGAAAAGTTGCCTTGAGTGACCCGGGATTTTTTCGTATTCCAAGTGTAAGTTTCTTTCTCAAATCAACAATTTATAATTCGTTTAAAAAAAATTTTTTAAGAATTTATAACTTGTGCTCTTCTTGCTAAAATATGAATATGGGTTTGAATATGTTAGGTTCTTTATTCTTCTCCATAAAGAGGTATATATAAGAGTTTACATAAGTGTTTTACAAGGAATTAGATATAGTAAAAGATTAGGAAAGTATCTCCTAATTATACAATGATTTGACAACTATATAAAATAGGAAAGCAAATCCCTTAATTAATCAAGGAAATAAATCTATAAAATAGGAAAGTAAATCCCTTAATTAATCAAGGAAATAAATCTCCTTGATTAATTAGGAGACTCACTTCAACACTCCTCCTCAAGTTGGTGCATATACGTCACCAATGCCCAACTTGGTAAGTGAGTCATGAAATACTCTGCCACAAATAGCTTTGGTTAAGATATCTGCCAGTTGATCTTCTGATTTTACGAATGGTAGGCAGATGATCTTCTTCTCAATTTTTTCTTTGATAAAATGTCTATCCACCTCAACATGTTTGGTTCGATCATGTTGAACTGGATTGTGGGCAATATTGATGACTGACTTGTTATCACAATGCAACTCCATTGGCTTTTTTTGCTTGAAACCCAATTCTGTCAATAGCCTTCTGATCCATAGTAATTCACAAACTCCGTGAGCCATTCCTCGATACTCTGCTTTAGCACTAGACCGAGAAACCACATTTTGTTTTTTACTCCGCCAAGTGACTAGGTTACCTCCCACAAAAGTGAAGTAACCTGAAGTAGAGCGTCTATTAGTAATGGAGCCAGCCCAATCAGCATCTGTATATCCAACAACTTCGAGATCTCTATTTTTTAAGAACATTAATCCTTTCCCAGGGGCTGACTTTAAGTACCTTAAGATCCGATCAACTGCATTCCTATGAGACACACTAGGTGAATGCATAAACTGACTAACCACACTCACAGCATATGCAATATCTGGTCTTGTGTGGGCTAAATATATCAACCTTTCAACAAGGCGTTGGTACTGTTCCTTATTGGTTGGTTCTTGATCCATGTTTTCACACAACTTGTGATTCATCTCAATGGGTGTGTCAACAGGCTTACATCCAAGCATTCCTGTTTCAGTGAGTAGATCTAATACATACTTCCTTTGGGACATAAATATACCAGTTGTGGACCTTGCTACTTCAATTCCAAGAAAGTACTTTAGATCACCTAAATTCTTCATTTCAAATTCCTGAGACAAATACTTCTGCAGTTTCAGTTGCTCTTCTGTGTCGTTTCCAGTTACGACTATGTCATCCACATAAACAATCAATGCAGTAAGTCTTCTTCCATCACGTTTAAAGAACAAAGTGTGATCCGCATTACTCTGTATATATCCAAAATTCTTCATGGATTTAGTGAATCTGCCAAACCATGCCCTGGGAGATTGCTTTAACCCCATACAATGACTTTCTGAGCTTGCAAACTTGATTCTCCTTTTCACGGGCTAAGTTACATCCTGGTGGTAAGTCCATATATACTTCTTCTTCCAAGTCTCCATGTAAGAATGCATTTTTTACATGAAACTGATGTAATGGCCAATCGAGATTTGCTGATAGAGACAAAAGGACTCTGATAGTTTTAATCTTGGCTACTGGGGCAAAGGTCTCTTGGTAGTCTATCCCATATATTTGTGTGTACCCCTTCGCCACCAATCTAGCTTTTTATCTTTCAATGGATCCATCTGCTTTGAGTTTCACAGTATAAATCCATTTGCTTTGAGTTTCACAGTATAAATCCATCTGCATCCCACTGTCTTCTTTCCATGAGGTAATGACACGAGTTTCCATGTGCCATTCTTCTGGAGAGCTCGCATTTCTTCATTCATGGCTTCTTTCCATTTGGGGTCTTCTAATGCTTCAGTTACATTGTTGGGGACAGATATGTCGGCCAACTGCTTCACAGAGTGTACCCGTGACTCTGATAATCTATTGAGAGATACATAATTGTTGATGGGATATTTCCCTTTTGCATTAAGATCTGCTTCGTAGTGGATTGGAGGTTTGCCACGGTTCTTCCTTTTTGGAATCTGATATGCAGGCTCTGTGCCTTCTGAAATCAAATCATTATGGGATATTTCATTAATGTTATCAGTTTCAGGAAAATATGTTACTTGAATGACGTCCTCAGCAGGTGATTGGTGTGGTACCGAAGTTGAAGAATTCTCCAAAGCGGGCAAAAACTTCTCAATTTTCTCCTCCTGAGTTTGGCAGCAGGGAGACAACCGATCGTTTTCCTCTGGTGACCGGTCGCTGTCTACTGGCGACTGGTCGTTTTGAAGCAGGGTCTCTGTATTTGAAGAACTAATGGGGGGCGATCGGTTGCTTTCCACTGGCGATTGGTCGTTTTGATGCAGAGTGACATCCTGGGGAAAAAAATCGATAATTTGAGTAGTGGTGGATTCTTGATTCTCCTCCTGTGCTGTTGAAAAATATAAGTCATGTTCTCGAAACACAACATCTATGGAGGTAAAGACCTTCTGACTAGGAGGATGATAACACCGGTATCCTTTCTGATGAGGTCCATATCCAATTTGCTTCGTTAGTGATCATGTAAGTGGACAAATACAACACAACCGAAAATCCGGAGTTCCAGGTTTGGGGTGGGAGGTGTTTGGATATGATGGTGAAGTGTTTGAAGTGGTGTTTGGAAATTTAAGATACTAGAGGGAATCCGATTGATAAGGTATGCTGCAGAGACGACAGCTTCTCCCCAAAAGGATCGTGGCATATTGGCTCCAAAGAGAGAGGCACGAACTACTTCCAATAAGTGTCTGTTCTTCCTTTCAGCCACCCCATTCTGTTGGGGAGTGTAAGGACATGAGCATTGATGTATGATGCCATGATCTTGTAAGAACTGGGTAAGATCATGGTTGAGAAATTCTCCGCCATTGTCAGAACGAAGAACCTGAATTCTGGCATGAAACTGAGTCTCCACCATTTGATAAAATTGTTGAAACTTGGAACTGACTTCCCCTTTTGTTTTGAGAAGGGAAACCCAAGTCATGCGTGTGCAATCATCTATAAACGTGACAAACCATCGAGCTCCTGCCGGAGTGGCAATTTTAGCAGGTCCCCAAACATCAGAATGAACCAGAGAAAACGGAACCAAACTCTTATGTGAACTTAATGGGAACTCGACACGATGGCTCTTAGCCAATTCACACGTATCACACTGGAAGTTGGAAACATCAAGACTGGAAAATAATGATGGAAACAACTTCTTAAGATAACCGAACTAGGCATGCCCAAGACATTTATGCCATAACCAAACTTTGTCTCTCTCCCCCCCAGAATGAGTTCCACTGGTTGTGAAAGCTTGACCAACCTTAATCTCACTATCCGGTGCCCAGTCTAAGTAGTAGAGTTTGCCCAGCCGAGTACCACAACCAATCGTCTTTCCTGTGAAGATGTCCTGAAAAACACAATGATTCGGCCAAAAAGTTACAGTACACCCCAAAGTAGTAGTAAGTTGTGCAACAGACAACAGGTTATGGCCCAAAGATGGAACAAGTAATACAGAATCTAGATGTAGGGAAGTAGAGAGAGATAGAGAGCCCTCCCCAACCACAGGGGAGGGGGTACCATTAGCATTAGACACCACCGACGGAGTGGATGATTTGCGATCAACAAGGTGGCCAGGATCAAATGTCATGTGATCTGTTGCACCCGAGTCGATAATCCATGCGGATTGTTTAGAGGATGTATGAAAAACAGAACCTTTGATGGTGGCAATAGAAGCACGAGGCCGAGGAGCCGAGATAACAGGATTGACCGCATACTTCTGGGAGTCTGCAATAAGAGAGAGCATCTTAGGGGGTCTTGACATCGCAGCGGAAGTAAGATGTGATAAGAGAATGTGAGGAATTTGATGTATGAATTTGATGTAGGAATTTGATTTGAGAGGTATGTGTATAAGATTTGAGGGTATGGGTTTAGGGATTTTGATAAGCGGATTTGATGAATTTAGATTTGAGGGATTTGGATTTGAGGAAATTAAGTATGAGGAATTTGATTTAGGGTTTGTGTTTGAGGAAATTTGGTATGAGGATTTAGGGTTTGTGTTTGAAGAACTTTGATATGAGGATTTAGAGACAGCCGAGGATCGATTGCTCTGATACCATGCTAAAATATGAATATGGGTTTGAATATGTTAGGTTCTTTATTCTTCTCCATCAAGAGGTATATATAAGAGTTTACATGAGTGCTTTACAAGGAATTAGATACAGTAAAGGATTAGGAAAGTATCTCCTAATTATACAATGATTTGACAACTATATAAAATAGGAAAGTAAATCCCTTAATTAATCAAGGAAATAAATCTATAAAATAGAAAAGTAAATCCCTTAATTAATCAATGAAATAAATCTCCTTGATTAATTAGGAGACTCACTTCAACACTTCTCTCTCTCTCTCATTTAGTTACTTATGGTCCATTTGGTCACCATTTCGTTTAATCCAGTAGTTTGTTTGGTTTGCAAATCAATGACTTTCTTGCTTTACGGAAGAACAACCTGCTGCAATAAACACAAGTGTTATTCCAAGAGGATTGTCAAAGCACAATGTTGAGAATTTTGAGGAGAATTAGGGTATAAAATATTCTTACAAACAAAACAGGGGATGAAATTTCAGCTCTTGCAGGATGTCTATATACTTCTATGTTTGTTTAAAATTGCAATTATAGGTGTTTATAAGTCCATGATTAATACTTCTTTGCTATTGAATGCATATAAATATTTTCTAAGATATGATTTCATACGTTATCGTGCAGATACTCTTTTGTTAGAAGTCAACGCTTCTCGTTATCAGTGGGTCCTTCATCACACTTGTTGTTAGACCACTTTCGAGGTAATGTGTATGTATGTTTTATATATGGCAATGCAATTTTATTGCATGAAATTGAACTAAAACAGTAGAATCTTACTTCCAATGGTGTGATTTAGTACTTCATTGCAATATCTGCAATTGCAATAAAGGGTACTATTGAAATACAACAATTAATGCATTATGTTGTTAAAAGCATTCATAATGGTTGTTCAATAGTTCAATGCAATAGAAAAGATACATAAATTTTTATTTTTATTTTTACAAATATATTCAAAATTGGTCTCTTTTTAAAGATCTCTTTGAGAATATTTCAATGGTACAAGTTTTTAGTGTTGTTAAATTTATCCCTTTTATCTTATTTGAGTATGTAAAAAAACATGTAAGTAAATATAACTATTGATCTGAAGCTATTGAACTGTACCATTGCAAGTAAAATTGCATTTCAATTCAATAGATGCCAAAAAAGATCAATTTATTGAATTATTAAACAACTATTGCGGATGCTCTTAGTTTCAGTATTTCTGTTTATGATTTTTAAAATATTGAGAAAGCCCAACATCATTATTGAGAGAGAGAGAGTGTGTAACTCAAGTTTATTTTCTCTGTCATTGTTCGGTAGCTACATTCTTTCTGATGCATTTTCTCATAAAATAAAACTTGTATGATGAAGTTTATTTTCAGTAATTGTTCTAAAGGTAAATTTTTCCTGAAGCATTTTCTCAGAAAATAGAACTTGTTGACTCAAATTTGGCTTAACATGTGTGAATTTTTGTTTAATCAATCTATTGACGTAGGTTTTGGCATGAGAGGGACAACCCCGTCTTATTCACCTGAAGACTTTTAAAATATGCCGTGTTCTTATGAAGTGTCTCATAAGATCCAAACTCCAAGACTAGAACAACTTCAGGATCTCGGTGATTTTCTGTGCTGAAGCTTTGCTCTGTTTCAAACATCTTCTATGATTTCATCCCTTCAACAATCATGTGGGAGACCTTTTACCGCTGAATCTGGGTGGCATATCACCAGATTACAAACTGCTAGAAATTTGTGGTTTTACCATCTTTGTGAAGAAGATGTGCTAAGCAGTGTCCCAATTGTACCTATAACGTATATTCGCTAAAGAGTACGTCCAGCTGTGCTTCCGGTTGCTTAAAGCCTCCTGTTGAAATCAACTCCGAGTATTTCTATTTCATTTAGTAATTTTAGTGTTAATTTTTATTTTCAATGTTCTTTAGTCTCTATTTAATTTTCGTTTTGTTATCCAATATACTGGTTATTTGTTCGTCAATTGGCTCTTCTTATTGTGTCAACTTGATATGTAGGTTTTCAAGAACCTAATGTGGAGGACCAACTGATGTGCAAAGTCAGGTACTTCCATTCGCGCTCCATAGCTGGTTATTTATTTCTTTGTGGAACCTTTTCAGTTAGGGCCCATTTGGCGGAGTCATTCCACATCTAGGGATTTAGATAACATTATTAGACTTTGGATAGGAGTAAATAGTCTATGTCAGGTGTTTGGTGTCAACTTGTATTATTTAATTACCCAACTATTTTATACGGATTGGGCTTTTAATACTCTCCTTACCTGACTAACTAATACAACCCACACACCCCGGTTTAGATAATACACGCTTAATTATACGGCTAGGGATAAAGAACACGCATTCTATCGTGAAAATTCAAACGCTCTTTTCATTCTTCTCCCTAGGGTTCTTCTCTGCAATCTTCTACACAAGTTATTCTCATCACTCTTCTCCAGGTATCCATCTCTCACTCTCTCTCTTTTTCATACTCTCTCCAACTACTACTTTCTCCTTCTTCTTGTTGTACATGGAAACCTTGATGTCCAGTACAGACATACGCAGATCTATATTCATAATACAATTCTAATAGTTAAACCACATATATTTCTGTATATGCAAGCGGGATGGTATTTTGTAGTCTTCTGTCATGTCTCAATTTCCATTAAAATTATCAAAGATTTTTATTTTATTTTTAAAATAGTCTAATCTGATGTTATCCGGAACATCACCAAACACAGTATAACTTAGTCAGACTATTTATCCGGAATAGCACCAAACGCCTTATAATATTATGGATAAATAGTCAGTACTCTCCGGAACAGATTAGTACTATCCGACGGAAATTAGTCAGTACAGTCCGACGTACCAAACGAGCGCATTAAATTGTTTGTTTAGACTATTACAATCCATATATGTCAAGACTTGAATATGAAGAAAACTATTTCAAATGATTCCCTTAATATAGTTTACTCTTTTTTTTTGTTGAACTTTAATATAGTTACTTCAAAACCATTTCAAATACGCGGAATCTAATTATATACATTCAATTCAATATTTTCTAGTATTTGTAGCAAACTAGCCTTAATATCAAATCCAATTCAATATTCTTTCTTCAAACTATGCATGTGCCAAATTGTTTTCTTTCTTATTTATTATTTTATTTTTAGAATTAAAAAAAGATAACATGGGTAGTTCTGTTCCATAAAAGTAGGACCTATTATCTGATTTTGTTTTTAATTTTATTTTTTTAATATGAAAAATTGTGCATTTATCATATTATCCTCATTTAATTAATAATTTCAATTCTTAATATTTGAATTAACTAAGGGCATTTTCTGGTATTTTGAATATTTCACCATTCTCTGCTTTTTGTTTTATGTATATATAGATTGCTCTATCCAAATGAAACTTGCTGCATTTGCATATGTTGTCTTTTCTGTAGGGTAAGAGATGCGACTGGTACCAAAAAAGGAGGAATTCAACACCTTTATGTGAACTGTCATAAATCCAATAGGCAAACTAAACTAAACACCATCATACGGGATTGCCCCAAGTGGCCCAGATCGGAGTTGAAGGGCCTCAGCACGGTCCAGTTTACCCAACATCTCCCGTGCAAACCCAGTTTTCAAATGCCAAGTCCACATCCACCAGGTAATTATTTTGTAAAACTTACAAATTCATATGAAATGAAATAAACTCAATTATCATTGTGAGTATGAAAATATTCTGCGGAAAAATCCACATTTTGAAGTTTATGATTTCTTCCAATTTTTATCCGGGTCTAGGACTTTCTGCCAATTTTTATGAAGAAAATTAGCGAGCACTGGTTGACATACGTCATCAAAGGGAGGGGGAACGAAAGGGGAAAGCGATTTAAAAAATCAATCAGATGGTTGTTATTAATTTGGGAAATATACTGATATAATCACTTTTTACAAATTGTATTCTGAAATGATCACGTTACAAATTCTATTCAGATATAATCACCTGGGGACGTGAAATTACCTAAGTGCCCTCCATATAAAAACATATCTATTGTGGAGTTATTGGCCGACCTAACACTTCTGACTTCTCTCTCTGTCTCAGCTCTCTCTCACGGTTCTCTCTTCCTCTCTCTCAGCGCTTGCTCTCTCCATCGACCACCACCACTCTCTTTCTCCCTCTGTCGCGAAAACCTAAGCAGCAGTCTCTCGTTCTCTCTCTGCAGTCAATGTTAGGGTTTGTTGAGGGGGTTCTTGAAGGTGAAAGAGAGGCTTTCTTCGTTAAATGCTCTCTCCCTTCGACAATCTCTCAGTTCCCTCTCTTTTCATGTCTTCAATCGACGTCTTTCTCTTCTCCTCTACTCCTTCGCGGGATTAATTGTTCCTCCTTTTCCGGCGAGCGTGAGGTGGTCCCGGAGGACCTGGTGGGCTTGGTGGGCCTATGGGCTTCGGAAGGTCCAAATCCAAATTCCAAGAAGTTCCAGAGACGGGGGTGAGTTTCTCTGATGTAGCTGGAGCTGACCAAGCAAAGCTGGAATTGCAGGAGGTGGTTGATTTCTTGAAGAACCTAGATAAGTACACTGCCCTTGGAGCCAAAATCCCAAAAGGCTGTCTTTTGGTGGGTCCACCTGGTACCGGCAAGACCCTTCTGGTTCGGGCCGTGGCCGGCGAGGCTGGAGTGCCGTTTTTCTCTTGCGCAGCTTCAGAGTTCGTGGAATTGTTTGTGGGAGTGGGTGCGTCGAGAGTGCGGGACTTGTTCGAGAAGGCCAAGTCGAAAGCGCCGTGCATTGTGTTCATTGATGAGATTGATGCGGTGGGAGGAATGCTTTGATGCAAATTGGTATGTCTTAAGGTTGTCGTAAGAGTTGGCAGAACGACGTTACTAAGTTTTATGCTAAAAAGAATTAAGAAGATTGAAAATCATGTAATTGGATGATTTTTTAAAATTCCATGCCAATAAATACATAATTGAAACTGCTATTATGATATTTATTTATTTATGTGGCGTTAACATATTAGTGTACTCATCAATAACTGAGTTTGATGTTTCTGTAGTATGTAAGGTTTTTGATTGTGTTAGCAGACATAAGGCTGTTTTTAAATAAAAATAGTAATGTGAGATACCTTAAGAAGGTAAACTGAACACATAGTGAGGCAATGAGTAAGACTATTGGAAGCAGGTAAGCCTTGGTCTTTGTTTTGAAAGTTTTGTGAAATGCCCTTGCTAGTTTGTGTAAGAAATATTTTTCTCCATAACTTGACATGATATAATGTGATAATTTTCACCGCATGGAGATTATGTTTTATGAAGAGTCCTTCTTGGCTTTATGAATTACTTTGACTTCCCTACCAACTATATGTGTATGCTGCAGGAAGGGTGACTCCGGAAAGTGTTATCTTCAGCTTTGGGACTATCCTTTTGGATCTTCTCAGTGGGAAACACATCCCTCCTACTCATGTGAGTATTTTAACATGTCATGCCCTTGTTCTCCACTCAGTCAGTTTGGAATGGACCCATGGTCTGTAAAAATTAAAGTGCAGTGCTTCTGCCAATGAGTTATGCGGAAGTCCATACGCTGTATGGTAAATTGGTAATAGAGGAGTTGTTTGTTCAAATGCCTCTTACTAGGTAGTCTTTAGTACTCGGCAATAAGGGGCCCCTTGTAATCCCCGAGGTGGGGTAGTAAATAGAGTTGAATGTACTCATTGATGGACACATAAGCTGGCTTTTCTTATAGCCATTATGTTTTATGCACTGCGATATATGTTTGTTATATGATATTAAGTTTGTTCTAGTTAAAGTAATAGGTTGAAATTCATCATGCTTGACACTGATTTTGAAGAGCAGTTTGCACCAGGGATTTTATTCTTCCGGTTTCCATGTCTGGATGATCTTTTAGTTTTTAATACATAATTATGTAGGCTGACTTTGGATTACAGAATCTCCTTATAATTTATGTTTGTGTTGCAGGCTCTTGATATGATTCGTGGAAAAAACATTATTCTCTTAATGGATTCACACCTGGAGGGAAAATTTTCCACTGAACAAGTGACTTACTCGGAAGTCTTTAGTACTCGGCAATAAGGGGCCCTTTGGATGCATGATCTTTTAGTTTTTAATAAATAATTATGTAGGCTGATTTTGGATTACAGAATCTCCTTTATAATTTATGTTTGTGTTGCAGGCTCTTGATATGATTCGTGGAAAAAAAACATTATTCTCTTAATGGATTCACACCCGGAGGGAAATTTTTCCACTGAACAAGCGACTGTGGTTTTTGATCTTGCCTCACGATGTTTGCAATATGAACCCAGGGAGCGGCCAAATACCAAAGACCTTGTTGCAACAGTTGCCCCACTGCAAAATAAATCTGATGTAAGTCTTCCATGCCTTTTCTCCTCATGGATGCAATTACATGTCGTTTTCATTCTGTTTGTTTCTTAAACATTGCCTTTTTTAAAATATTATCACCACCAACATTCTGAACCAAAGTAGTGCAACTATGCTCCCTATAAATGCAGTTCATTTTCTTTATACCTTTAACGACCTTGTATGTTTCCCGTTCTTATCATTCTCTGTCATGCATAATCTCACTCCGTCCCAGTCTGATTTTGTTCCCTCAAAGCAATTTTAACTACCTCTACATTTTCTGAAACATGCTTAGTCAGAAATTTTTAATGATGACGATGCTTTGTAGGTTCCATCTTTTGCACCGTTCTAGTCTTAATGGTTACAACATCCTCTTTCGGCCATGGGCGATGCCTGTTCAAGGATGGACCTCACAGCCATCCATCAAATTTTGTTAATGACACACTACAAAGATGATGAAGGAACCAATGAGATAATTGGATTGTGCACATGTAGGTTCAGATGGTTCTCTGATGCCTTTCTGAAACTGTTTGTCGTTGTGTTAGTTGTCTTTCCAAGAATGGACTCAGCAAATGAAGGATATGTTGGAGGCGCGAAAGCGTGGGGACTTAGCATTTCGTGACAAAGATTTTAGATCAGCAATGGACTCACTCTCAGGTATGCATTCTGCAATAGGAGGTAGAGTATGCATTCCTGTCCCCCATTTAACAAGTTTACACTTGATTAGTATTTTGGTGCCACAAGGGTCAGGCACTTCATTTTTTCTCTCGTAGATAATGAGTTTCAAATTTGTTAGTATTGCGTAGTACAAAGGACAGGGCTGCTTGTGAATTGTATAAGAAAGTAAAAGGTTTTATGCGATGTTGGTAAAAACCGGTATTCATATCAGACTCTACCTGATAAAAAAGCTGTTTTCGTAATTAGAAAATAGGATGGCCATCTTAATTTCTTTTAAGGTTCTGAGATAGAGTTAGGCCTAATCTATGAAGGACAATTATGTTGGTGATTTATCTGAGTTCTCTAGCGTTCATAATGTACTCAAGTGTCACTGGTTATGCCTACGTATCTCTGACTCTGTTTTTTCCCTCAGGCTGGATTAGCTCTTGGAGAGTTGCGAAAGGAAAATAATTTCCTAAGAATCCTTTGGCCAGTAACTAATCCACCTTCAAGTCAAGAACATCTTTTACATCCTCAACTTTTACAGAAGCCTCTCCGCCCATTCCTTGCTCGAAGGTATTTTGATGATGTAGGAGTGTAAAACGTGATTCCATTAAGGACGTCTTGTCCTTTTTGTAATATGTTGTAGATTATGAATATATAGTGGGAATGTGGAATGAAATTATAGTGGGAATATGGAGTTTTTGTATTGCCATTGTATTGCTCCCCTATTGTATTTGTATTGTCATCATATTGCCATTTTAGCGTTGTGGTATTGTCTGGTTATTGCACTTATATTTGTTTCTTATCACCTGTTTTTTCAAGTTTATCTTGTGAAGGAACTTGTAAGGATATTTTGTAAAAGAAAACACTTGATAGTGTAAGTTTATTTTGTAAAGGAAAATGCCATTGTGAAGGAACTTATAAGGATATTTTGTAAAAGAAAACGCTTGATTGTATTAGTTTATTTTGTAATGGAAAATGATAGATCATTATTCATTATCATATAAATAAGGTATAACAAGCACCGTATATGTATCTCTTCAATATGATTGATTTGTGTTCAGCTATTGGTGTAAGAATGTGATTCCATTATTGCTTTTTTATTGAGTATTTATTATTGTAAGAATGTGATTCCATTAAGGGCGTCACGTTCTTTTTATAAATCAAACTCATAGTTGCTTCCCCTGCAACAAATTATATTAATTAAGAAAACCAACCAAAAAGCAATACAAAAGTAATGGCACATAGATTATGAAGTGGTAACAGACATGCAATACAAAAACAATACGATAGCAATAAACAAGCAATAAAGTGACAATAGACGAGCAATAAAAAAGCAATAAAAATACAATAAACAAGTTGGGCGCGACTTTTCTTTTTCTTGTGTAATCTGAAAAGAAAGGGGGAAAGAAACAGAAATTGTCAACACAAAACTGCAGAAAGAAACAGAGAAAGTGACTATATCAGACATTTCCCCTTACATTTTTCCTACCAATGATATACATACCCGACGAAATTGGAGACATTGTTGACATTGAAAGTAGCTGAGGCATGCATCATTTTGCAAACACAATGATGAGATTGAGATATGATGCACATTTCACATTTTCCACCTTATTATAATGAAATTTTAAATTATAGATACAAAATTCTATACTGATAATGATAACCACCCCAAGCTAAGGACGGCTCCGCATAAATTAATACAACTTCAGTCAGACTGGCATTATATATATCCCTTGAAATACAATATACAAATTTCTGGCTCAAAGAAGAGTAACAAAATTTTGATTCCAAATCCAGCATTTCAGTACAATACTGGAGGAAGTTGCAACAAATTTATGACTATAAGTCTGCGTCCATCTTGAAGATGAAATTCTTTCCACCATCTTGGAGGCCTGACATAATGCTCTTTCATAGTCACCCACCCTTCCCTTAAAAAAGTTCATCTTTCCTCTGCAGGAAAAAATAAAGAAAAACCAAGATCAAGATCAATTGTCCTCCAAAAATATCGCTTAATTCTGAAGGAAAAAACTCTGTGTCCTGGTTACTGCAGATGTATTCTTAGGGCCAACCGTCTCCCATTCATCTTCTTCTGCAGAAGATACTAGAGATGATTTGAGCCCATTAATACTCGAGGGCTGTCCTTCAAGCTTAAGTAATTAATCATGCATCTGATCCATAATGAAGCTAAGGAACTCCTGAGCATCTTCTTGTCTGAAAAACAAAAATAGTTTCACTAGGCAAATTAAAATAGAAAGTAGAATATAGACATGCTGACATAAATATTTACATTAGACAGAGAAGAAACTAAACAACGCAAATTTAACCCTTTGGTAATTACTCTTGAGGTGTTATAGGTTTCTTCTTTCCTTGGTCCATGAAAATATTGGCAAACTCAGAATAATACAGAAGATTGTTAACTTCTAAAATATCTCAATCTAACCCATTATTTCACATTAAATGGGTTGCAACAGGTGTAATAAACCACAAGCATATAAATAAACTGGAAAAAAGTGTAACATGTTTTCAGAAAATAAACAATTTAATTAAGTGGAGACACTGTAACTGCAGGCATTTTAGTCATGAGCTATGTCAGGCAGTTGCACTTTTTCAAGCCATCAGACAAATTGTAAAGCATGAGAATTATCAATCAAGCCTAATAATACTTAAGGAAAACCATTACCGATCAATACAAGATTTATGATAATCACAAAGTAACAAAATTGCACTACATGTCTGACTTTTCTTGTTTATTTGGAAATAATGAAAAGATATTAATATAAGGACAGAAAGGAAACAGTGCATAAGGGATTTAAAAGAAAAAAAGTGGCAGGGAAGGACAACTTTTGTGACTACAAATAGATGCATGTGTCTAAATCATTTTGCAATGATCGTGCTTTACAATTTTAGCTAGCAATACCATCAAGGATTAAATTTGCAATAAGAAGGCTCAACATAGAAATAAAAAATACAAAAAGACAAAACCTAGAACAGAAAATTATTGACCCAGATCAGATACAAACCTTGGCCTGCCCGAGATGCTAGTTGGTACATCTGGAGTAAAAATTTTGAGAACACCTTCAAACATGGCAGGGCTAAAAGGCCTACCAGTCTCAAGAACACTTGCATCTTTGTTCTTTGAACTTGAACCACTAGGCATGTCAAATTCAGAGATGAACTCTGCAAATGCACCCAATGTTGGATAGCCAATCTAATAAAATCAAATTCAAATGGATAACATATTAGTTAAGTGATTAGCCAGAAAAAGAACAAGCATTAGGCAAGGTAACTTCCTATTTTCTGAGATCAGCAGTCTATATAAATTTTGTTATTTGCAAATAGCAATTCTAGATGACAAATGGAATTGAAAACACGCATCACAAACGAACCAATCCTAGATGACAAATAGCAAATTGAGGCACTTCGTCGTCCATAGAGCAAAATCAATCAGACCAATAGAAGTTTCATCCAAGCATGAAGTAATTCACAGTGAAAATACAGAAATTTCCAATCTCCCTAATTACTAAACTTCACAAAATCAGTCACAGGTTAGTGAAATCATCATTCTCAAATGAAAACCATACAAAAAGACAAACTAGTCAATAAGAAATACAAAACCCACCTTAGAATCACTCCTTTTACGCACAGAACCGAATTGGAAATCCCAAAAACACCTAAAGAAAAGCACGAATTTTGTCTGTGAGAGATTGAGAACGAGGAGGAAGTATGTGAAATAAGTCGGAACCGAAACCAAAAATTAGGGTTTTTTGAGGCCCTGAAGGAGCGAAGGAGAAGAGAAAGATGTTGATTGAAGACATGAAAAGAGAGGGAACTGACAGATTGTTCAAGGGAGAGAGCATTTAACGAAGAAACCCTCTCTCACCTTCAAGAACCCCCTCAACAAACCCTAACATCGACTGCAGACAGAGAACGAGAGAGTTCTGCTTAGGTTTTCGCGACAGAGGGAGAAAGAGAGTGGTGGTGGTCGATGGAGAGAGCAAGCGATGACAGAGGAAGAGCGAACGGTGAGAGAGAGCTGAGACAGAGAGAGAAGTCAGAAGTGTTAGGTCGGCCAATAACTCCACAATAGATATGTTTTTATATGGAGGGCACTTAGGTAATTTCATGTCCCCAAGTGATTATATCTGAATAGAATTTGTAACGTGATCATTTCAGAATACAATTTGTAAAAAGTGATTATATCAGTATATTTCCCTATTAATTTTTACTTCTCAAATTTTTACTAATTGACTATTCAATCGATGCACGCTAAGAGGTAGACAGCGCTTTCAATTATGATGATGACCAATTTACTTTTCTTATTTCATGTTGTGAATTTCAGGCACTGAATAATGGTTTTCTTGTGGACCCTCATGATTAGCAATTTCATGAAACGTGGCTGCAATGATTCTGTTAAGGATATTAGACTCTCAGTTGACGGATCTTTTGATGCGACTGTAGCTACTAGTTACCACTAGGTGCAAGATCAAGTGGAGCGTGTCCTAAGCAAGATGATGTAGAACAAATGGTTTAATGGATTGAAGAAGAATGGGAAATATACAGATATAATCACTTTTTACAAATTGTATTAAAAAATGATCACGTTACAAATTCTATTCAGATATAATCACTTGGGGACGTAAAATTACCTAAGTGCCCTCCATATAAAAACATATCTATTGACCATTTTCCACCTCTTTTCTGAAAGCCAACTTCTCCCAACTCCTCTTCTCTCTCTCTCTCGCGCGCAGCTCCCTCTCTGCTCTCTTTCACAATTCTCTCTTCCCCTCTCAGCGCTTTCTCTCTCCATCGACCACCACCACTCTCTTTCTCTCTGTGTCACGAAAACCTAAGAAGCCCTCTCTCTTTCTCTCTCTGCAATCGATGTTAGGGTTTGTTGAGGGGGTTCTTGAAGGTGAAAGAGAGGGTTTCTTTGTTAAATGCTCTCTCCCTTGAACAATCTGTCAGTTCCCTCTCTTTTCATGTCTTCAATCGACGTCTTTCTCTTCTCCTCCGCTCCTTCAGGGCCTCAAAAAACCCTAATTCTTGGTTTCGGTTCCGACTTATTTCACATACTTCCTCCTTATTCTCAATCTCTCACAGACAAAATTCGTGCTTTTCTTTAGGTGTTTTTGGGATTTCCAATTCGGTTCTATGCGCAAAAGGAGTGATTCTAAGGTGGGTTTTGTATTTCTTATTGACTAGTTTGTCTTTTTGTATGGTTTTCATTTGAGAATGATGATTTCACTGAAGTTTAGTAATTAGGGAGATTGGAAATTTCTGTATTTTAACTGTGAATTACTTCATG